ATTAGTAAGTTTTTAGTACCACTTTAGAATGATGTTGTCCTTGATGTATTTTAAATTATAGTTTTGATTAAATTTCATAATTTTTATTGGACATGTAAGTCCTAGTTGAAGTCTAATAAGTCTCGTGGTTAAGTGGGATTTTTCTTTTTTCTTTTTAGATGCAGTACTGTAATAATTTTCCGGCAGATTGAAAATGTTATATAAGTTTGATCAGTTTCCAACTCAGCTTTTCTCAAAGGTTTGTGACACAATTCTAGGGCCTAGGTGGATTCATAATGTGCTTTAGTGTATTCTATAACTCAACTTTCTATCATTTTGCTGTTTTTCATCATAATGGTGATACCAAATCTGATTTCAGATTCCAATAGCCAACTTATCTAAATAAAATTATGAACTGATTCCTCTGTCAATTTCATGGGAGGAAACCTGATCTCTGAGTTTCATAACCCGATTTTTAATTGTGCAGCATCGGAAGTTGAAAAGTACAGGGAGGAACCATCCAGAATGGATGCACGGATTGCAGAAGGTCTGGTTCACAAATGGCAGATCATTAAGTCTCTGGCTTTTGGACCTGATCATTGCCTAGCAAAACTATCAGAGGTATGGATGTTCCACATTCGTATAGAAGATTACTAGCTGCATGAAAATTGACAAAATGGCATCTCCCCCCTCCCCTCCTCCGCAAAAATAAAATAAATTGATTGTTAAAGTACAAGATTGTCTTGTTAACATCGTTGCAGTTTTATGCAGACCTCCTGATAAGCAAACATTTCAATTATTTTTCTGGGGTGTTTAATTTTTCCAAATTGGTTTCCACTTCCATCAAATTTGCTTAAGTAGCACTTAATTTTATAGAACCTAAAGAATTTTAAACGAGACTTCTTTATATCTTACCAGGAAAAACATTATGAAATGACTAAATATGGAGATTCGGAGAATTAATGGTATATCTATAGTGGGATTTATATTGGATTCTAGTATGCATCTTTTGAGTGTTCAATTTCATGTACTTTCCACTGAAGCAAAGAAAAGCGCTTCTTGTTTAAGCACCTATGTTTCCCTTTCCGATGGTGATGAGATATAAGAATTACCACTTTCATCACATTTGCTTCAGTAGCATTTATATACGTAGAAATTTAAGTATCTTAAATGAATTTCTCAATAGTTTTGTCATCAAAAGGTTCATTGTGGAATATCTAGGAAAGATTTTTCCTTTCTGGTAATGTTTACAATGGATGTTGAAACTGATTTGTACGAAGAGTATCATTGTTCATATTGCTTTTAGGTTAAAGGTAACTCACTATCATTCTTTCAGATTTATATCAGAGTATTGTTTCTCTCACAGTTACATGTCGCATCTTGCATCCAACGAATCCAAAATTTATCAACTTGTCCTGTTTTAGCAATGCATTGATGCAACTAAAAATTTAAAGTTCTCCAGTATGCTTTTGAGTGGTTTTGGAGGGAAATCAATTAAAGAAAACATAACGCCATTCATGTATCTTTTCCAGATTTTGGATGGTGAGATGTTGAAGATCTGGACGGATCGTGCAGCCGAAATTGCGGAACTCGGTTGGTTCTACGACTACAAACTATCAAACCTGACCATTGACAGTGTAACAGTGTCGTTAGATGGTCGGCGTGCTGTGGTGGAAGCAACTCTTGAAGAATTAGCCCATCTCATTGATGTAGACCATCCAGAACACAATGCTTCAAACAGCAAAACCTATACCACAAGATACGAGATGTCATATTCCAATTCAGGATGGAAAATTTCCAAAGGTGCTGTTCTCGAATCATAATTGGAAAGTTGTAAAATTTCATTAGCCTGTAAATGCATTTCTTCTGGGTTGTTTTTTATCATAACATTTTTAGTGTCTGTGAAGAGGAAGAGAGCTGGGAAGTGAGGCATCTGTCAAGGGTTATGGAATTTATTATATGTTAATAATATATTTTCAGCTTTTTTGAGCAGTTCAAATTTAGTTTATCATACATTCCCTGTCTCATACACTATATTACTTTATAATGATCTGGGTAAATGTTACTAAACGCGCTTGCTAAGTGTGCATCTCGTATGAGGATCAGACTCTCACAAGCTCTCTCACATGAGGTTCTTTCTCTCTTTCTTTGTCTGTCTTCGTTTATCTTTCTAACTCTTCCTCTCTATCACTCTCTCTCTCTGTCTCTTTGACTCTTCCTTATTACTCGTTCTTCTCCTACATTATTTATCTCTCTCCATTTTATGGGACCAGCTGTCAACCGAGCGCAACAGCTCAACTGCATCGCAACAGAGCTACGAGTGAGAGCTGGGCCTAGATATTCTATTCAGATTTGGTCTTCAAGCTCCCACGTTTGAAGACAACATGTGATTCTTCATGCCAGGTTTGATCCTCATGTTTGCACTCATCAGTTGTGAAATGTGGAACCTATTTATGATATTGTAGCGATTTACGAAAGCTGGGGTCAGTGGGTACTGGAAAGCCTATTGGGGAAGACTTTAGCTTCTAAGAAGCTCGGTATCTACCTATTTTAGGTTCTGAACGGTTTAACATTTTTCTTTTTAAAAACTGCAGTTCAGTTTTGGTTCGACTCTAAAACCGAGCTGAACTGAACGGTGAAAACTTATATGAGGAACTACCTTTCAAGCAACAAGGAGAAGTAACCATATGGAAGTGAAGATTAAGTTACTGGATGCATTTATCAAACCTTTCTTAGGAAGTTGCTGGATGGATGGATGTTCACACCACAAATAGTTCATTATTTTCTTTTGTTTAATAAGAAACCCAAAACGAGAGAATGACAAAAAACTTTATGAAGAGCACTCCAACCTGGGGCTGTATGCTATGCTGTACAGGGTCACAAAAATATACACAAAAAATTCTAGCTTGTTCGGAAAGATTCTACAATTCATTTCTTTCCATAGGAGCAGAAGCAGTGCGAGAGTAACTTGTGAAGCTCATCTTCTTCTCTATTTGGAGGACACCAGGTGATGTTAAAGATATTAAAGATAAAATTCCAACCTTTGTATGCAAAAACAGTGAAAGAGACAGGTGGTTGGAAGGCTCATCACACCACAAATAGTTCATGGAAATGAACATTTGAAAATTTTCAGTTTTAGGGAGGGAATTTTATTTTATTTTTATTATTTTTTTTGTTCACCAACACGTTGGGATAGGGATTTTAACGTTTTATCTTTTGGTCAAAGATATATGCCTTAACAGGTTAAACTATATTGGAAAAAATTACTAAAGGTGGCAGCCTCCTAATAACGTTAATTCGAAAATCCATCAAGACTGGGACTTAGGCTTCAGAAGGGGGCTTTTTGACAGAGAATTTGAAAGCTGGTTGGGGCTCACAAACAAGCTAGACATGGTTAGTTTGGGAGATTCAAAAGATGGAGTCATCTGGAATATTGACAAAGGGGGCACCTTATCAACTAAGGCTACCTTCACTCACATCACCAAACCTCGTAGAACCCTCCAGCTCCCCCTTTTTAAGACCATTTGGAAATCTAAGATCCCAAAGAAGATAAAAGTTTTCCTTTGGTCGGTGGTTCACAGAAGCTTAAACACTCATGACCGCCTACAGAAGAAATGCCGAACCTGGTTGCTCTCCCCCTTAGCTTGCCCTCTCTGCCTCAGTGAGGAAGAAACTCTAGATCACTTATTGCTCCACTGCCCATAACCTATAAGTGCTGGACTCAAGCTTTTAATCTGTTTAACCTTGACTATTGCCTCCCCAGCAAGGTTGATGAATGGCTCTCGCAAGCTCTTAATGGAGGAAGCTTCAGTAACGCTAGAGGAACCTTATGGTTTTTGGTGGTGGCTGCAATCTTGTGGAACACATGGAGGGAAAGAAACAATAAAATGTTTGAGAACAAATCCTCAGATTTCCCTTTTTATGGAGTAATGTACAGCTTACCATGTCTAGGTGGTACTACAGTTACAACAAATTCTTTTGTAATTACTCCTTAAGCTCGATTCTCCAAAATTGGAGGGCTTTTCTGTAATAGCTCTTTTGGGGAGGGGTTTCCTCTACCCCTCGCCCTTAGGTTGTCTTCTTTTTTGTGATCAATACTTACATCTCGTGTCTCTTATAAAAAAAAAAAAACGTTAATTCGAAAATCTGTATGCCCCTAGATAACTACTATGAATATATTTGAGGTTCTTTTGTGATTTCTCTCTCATGAGGCCGACGATATAAAACTGCCAGCCTCATCTAATAATTTCTCATGAAGTGGTGGGTAGTTTTATTATCAGTAAGTTTTAGTATCGAGAGATTATGATAGAAAAACTTTAGTGGGAAGTTTGCTTTCTTTTTAACGTGTTCTTTAGTGGCTATTAATCTTTCAATAGTACACTTGCCTATGTAAAGTTCATTGTCAATGAAATCAAATGTCTCGAGCGTTCGGAAAAGTAATTTTCTCCTGTTGTCAATTTAAACCACAGCAGCAAAATGCCCTTTTCTCATCATAGGAGGGAAAAAATAATTATCCTCTTTGTAAGTATATCCCTCGAAAGTGTTTATATACACATGAACAAAGCAGTCAATCAGACTGATAATATAACATAAAAGATGAAAAGTGAGAGAATCTTATCCATCTTCTAGGGCATTTTCATTCAAATAATTGGATTCTACAAGTATGGATGAGTAGAGACATTAATATATGTACTAATATGAGATGGTACAAAGCTTAAAAAGGAAGAGACATATTCCTTTTCCAAGACCTGTGATCTAAGGATTGGAGTGAGAAGGATAGCCCAAACATCTCCCTGGAGACCTGAGTTGGTTCCACAAATCCAAGTAGCTTTGCCACGAGGGCAGCACTTTCGCTGATGTGGCCGAAGTCTTTTGTTCTTGACCATAGCATTCGTGCCAATTGTATGCCTCTTTGCTTTGTCTTCAAGTCAATACCCCACTTCTTGTAAAGGGCCTCTCTTTCCTTCATTGAGAACTTCTTCTTCATCCTCCTTGCCAACATTTCCCTCTCGCGGTTTAGAGCTTTCAAGCTGCTCCAGTTTACAAAATATTTTAGTACCAAGTAATTACACTGGATGAATTTAGCAATTTGGTCTAGAATCCAATGTCAACTCTTTCTTTGATACAAATACATGTTTTCCTTCTGGTTTCTAGACCAATACTTCCTCAAGATATAACAGTGTACAAATAAGTGCATGCCACGTTTCAAAATTTAGCTCTCTTACATGCTATTTCCTTCTCATGAAGAGAGAAACCGCAACTTATATGCATGAAAATTTCTTTCAGGAATGAAGTATATGATCTATGCCCTTCTCTCAAAATTCGTAGGGGTTTCTGTAAGAAACTCTTGATCCTCTTAAAGTTTAACAGTAAAAAGTAAATTGGTTGGTACTTTCGTCTGCAAATGCTAAGTATGGATATGGGCTGCTTAAACTAATTCTATTTGGGTCTGCTCAAAAGTTCTGTCTACATTATTAGATTATGCCTTGGATGAAACTCTGCAAATGGAAAAAATAAAAATAAAAGAAAAGAAAAAAAGAATATACCTCGAAGCTTGAGTGATAGCATCACCCTTTCGAGCATTAGTTCCTCGAGAAAAGGCTTCCCTTATGAAGAACAACCTTCTAAGCTCAACTTCCAAGTACACTGCGTCTGATGGGTCTCCTTTAAAAAGGATGAAGAAATAAGACCTGTGAACCAAGGGTACGTTGCAAACATCCCAAAGCTCAATAATCTCTCTTTGCTGATTCTGGAACTCTATGTCCCAATCAGAATTCGACCAGGAATCTTGTGCGTCTTCCACTTGAACGTCTAGTGTGGTTTCTTTAGGTTCATCCATCTTAGAGACCCTCCCCAGCCTCTGTCGTACACATCCATTGCGATAGTAAGAGAGAAATACCCCAAATAGAGGTCAAACTCCATATTTATTACCCTTTTCATGAATATATATTCTTTTAAGTGGTTGATATAACAAAAGAAAGAAAAGGAATCTCTAAACGTCATGATTTTCAATGGTTAAAAAAGAGAATGAAAAAATGTCAAAAGAAAGGTAAACTCACCGAACTAGATCGCTTCTTTAGCCGGGTCTTGGACTTTCCTGTTTTCTCGGTTGAAAAGTTGACAACACTGGTATTATCATCATCTTCATCTATTATTTCCAAAGGTTTAGTTTCTGAACAATGACTGCAAACTGATTCTGAGTCGTTTGCATCCAGATTTCCACAACTTAAACCACGCTTTCTCCGACTACCTTCTGCTACTCCAGAGAAGTTTACTTCAGATCCAACAGTCAGTGCTTTCTTATCCTGTTCTGCCTTTTCAATCCAAGTAGGAGGTTGGAGGGCCATCAGAACAGTCAAACAACTCTTGCTTCTAGCCAACTTCAAGTTTTGAAAGCCAGCATCAGCTGATTTAATGGAGCTAAAAGATTGCTCGGCAGGATAAAGGTTTACAATACAATTTAATGTTTTCTGCATCTCTGCATTATTTGGCATAAAACCATCGTAACTATAACCTGTGTTAAGTGTAATTAACTCCTTATTCTCCCTCTCTGGGGATGTCACTTGATCATTCCCAAAAGTACTGACCATCTTTCCTTCATTTTCTTCAAATCTAGCTAAAGTTAAATCACCTTCTTTGTGTGGTGTTTCTTTTGGTTCTTCTAGTTCAATGCATTGAACGTCCTTACACATATCTTCAGAATTTGCACGAACACGTTGAGCAATCTCTTCCCAGTCGTGATAAGGATCAGGTCCAGCCAATGGAGTACTGCTATCTAGCAGAAAATTATCTTCGTGACTCATAGAGAATAGAGGATCAACCTTATGGGGGCTATGCTCTTCTTGTCCATTAAATGTGTCTAGAGTTTTAAGACTTGAGTCATCATCAGAACGTACATCAACTAGATCTAGGTCAACCAAATCTGGTATTTCTTGTACTGCACTTTCACTTAGCTTAAATATCCTATCTTCTCCAACTGAATGCAGTAAGTTCTCGATTCGATATTGAGCAAGATCACGCTGTCGAGTCAGTTCCTTTATCTCTCTGTCCATCTGCACATTATGAATAAAATAAAATAAGGCACAACAACAAGAGTGACCTCATAATCGCATAAACTAGATAATATAGAAACAACTTCTGCCTACCTCTACGTTCTATTTATCAAACAACCATTCCATTTTCATTAAAGCTTTCATCTCAGACTACAACCAACTGATTCTGAAGCATCACTTTTCTTTTGGGTTAACAGTTTGACATAAAAATAGCTGATTCCCGTCGTAAACCGAGTCAATGTTCAAAATGAATTCTAAAAGAACATTTCATGCTATCTTTTCTTTTTCATTTTTTTTCATGTTTGAAATTACATAGATGCCATCTAACCAAATTCAGATGCAGAAAAGTAGTAGACTAGAAGGCTACACCAATACATAACTTAGCTATGCCTGATTTAAGAAAAACTTTATTTTCACTTAACTTCCTATTTGAAAAGATTGAAAAGTTGTAGGAACTATATGCTCACCTGCTCAATTACAAGTTCTTTCTCTTTCAATAACGCAGTAGAATCACCTTTGACAGGACGTGGTGCTAAGCTCTTCATCTCACTCTCAAGTCTAGCCAATTCTCTTTGCAACTGCTTCACCAATGCCTTATCTGACACCACCACATTGACTTGTGCATTTGTACTCACCTCTTTTGCACAAGTAGCAAACAGTAATGTATTTCTTGATTGCTCAACATGGCTACGTGCAGGACTCATAGTACAAATAATAGCTGTTCGGGCATTCCCCCCAAGAGAATTCTGCAGTATCCGTGTTAACTTGGAATCTCTATAAGGTATGTGCCCATTCCTTCCTCCTCCTCCTTTGCTGCATTCCCATCATAATAGACATTAATATCATGACTATGGCAATGAGCTCAAAAAGCAGAAGGGAAAAGAAAGGCTAAACAGTTAGTCCCTCAATTTTTAGTGTGTCTAATAGGTCTATGAACTTTCAATATTGCGTTGGTTTGATGTCTAGTAGGTCTATTAGACACAAAATTGAAAGTTCAAGATATCCTAGACACTTTTTAAAATTTAGAGACCTATTAAACACAATATTGAACTTTTATTAGACATATTAAATACTTTTTAGAATTTAAGAACATATTAGACCTTATCCATCCTAACTTAATCAAAAGGAAAAGAAGAATAAACATGATCTTCAGTAAAATATGAGAGGGAAATAAAACCAAACCTTAGTTTGCGAATTACAGTTCCCAGAGTCAGCAAACTGCGGTTTATGTGGCAACCTTCTTTTAGTCTTGCACCAGCAGACATTGTTTGAGAAGCACGCTCACTTCCCGCAAGATCAACAAAATTCTGTACAAAGAAAAAGAAAATCCCAAGTCTTTTTTTTTTCTAGTTCTACAAAATCTCCTTCTTGCTTTTTCAAGAAGACTTCAAATTAATGCAACTTCCAAGAATAGAGCCAATATTTTACCACAGTAGCCGTGAGACTGCTTGAACGTTGAGACTTCCTAAATTTGCGAGCAGAACTTTCAATTGTCTGTAGGAATGATCATTTGTACGTTTGTTAATGGGAAATACAAGCACAATGTTTAAATATGCTTTTGGTACTTAAAACTTTTATTCATTTCCATTCTAGTTTGAACTTCTAAAATTTCAATTATAGTTACCAAACTTTCAATCAATTTCTATTTTAGCCCTTTTAACTTTTAAAATCTTAGCTTTGATCCTCCAACTTCTATTAAATTTCACGTTTACTCCCTACTACAAAAATGATAATTTGGGTATGATATAGGGATAATATGGTAGTGCTATAACACCACATTTCAATTAAGAATAAAATTGTGAAGTTTAATGAAAGTTGATAGGCTAAAACTAAAATTTTGAAAGTTTAGGGCAAAATGGAAAGAGAATAAAAAGGGACTAAAATTGAAATTCTAAAAAGTTCAGCTATTAAAATGAAAAAATAAAAATAAAAATTCAAGGACTAAAATGCAAAAGTGAACAAAAGTCAAGTAGCGAAACCATATTTAAACCTAGGGAAAAAGAAAACATGACCCAAATGAGAAAATTAGTAGTAAGTTTAGTGTTGTGCTTACTAGTCTTAGGATTTGATGCGATCTGGAGCTAGCTTCATTCAGAGACGTCTCCCCTATCTTTCTTTGAACTGTTTAAAACATATTATCAAAATCGTTGAGATATACTTGTATGATAAATAAGACACGTTTGATCATCATTTTTTTTTCTATTTTTTAAAATTAAGTTTACAACTATTATTACTTTCACATATGTATTCCTTTGTTTTATTATCAACTTTTTAAAAACGTTTTTAAAATCTAAATCAGATTTTCAAAAATTATAAAGGTAGTTTTTATTTTTGAAATTTAACTAATAATTAAAATGTGTTTTAAAGAAAGGTAGAAAGTATATTAAAGAAATTGTAGAAGACAAGCATAATTTTTTTAAACTAGAAAATTAAAAATGAAATTGTTGTCAAATCAGAACCTTAGTTTTCAGTTTTTTTTTTTTTTAAATTAAGTTTATAAACTATACTTGCACCCATGTTTCTTTGTTTTGTTATATACTTTAAAAACGTTTTCAAAATCTATGCCAAAACAGAAAGATAAAATAAAATCATTATCAAATTGGTTGAAAAAACCAATTGTGCTGTTAGTAAAGGAAGAGTAATATTTTCACCTTCGCAAAATGAAAGAAGCTCATGGAGATGGTTCCTATCTCTCAGTGTTTCCTCTGTAAGTTTCTCAACAACCGTTCCTTTCTGTAACATCAAGGCTATACCATAAGAATCTCTATAATTGTTTTTTGTTTTTTTCCCCCTTATGTAAAAAAACAATGAATAAATAAAGATGAAAGAAGATAGTAAGTTATTCACCTCAGGATCATCAAGCAGTCTAAGTGGGACATTTTCTAAGCTGAGGAGATCTCTGACAGCTTCATTGTATATCTCAATCGCTGAAAACTTCAGCACGAATTCTCTGTCTGGATGCTATGATCCATAAAATTTGTCATATTAGTTGCAGCCGAAACAATTTACATGGTGGGTACAAAATTTCTATCTACGCGTCGCTAATTATTTTCGTATGCTATGGGTTCGATATTGATATTAGACCATTTACATGACAAAGTGTGATGTATCTAAGATAAACTTACCATCTCAATGTAATTATAAATGTCTGCCACAGAATATTCAGTGACTCCATTCATGGTGTAGGTCTTTCCACTGCTTGTTTGCCCATATGCAAAAATTGTTGCTGAAAAGTAAAGCCATTGTTAAACATTTGATGATATGTTAGGAATATCCAAAACAAAACAGAGAGAGAAAGAGGGCAATTACAGTTAATGCCATTGACCACAGAAAGAACAACTTCTTTGGCTCCTTCTTCATAAACTTGCTTTGTTGTACTGTCACATCCAAATACTCTATCTATCCACCATTAGGGCAATCAGGAGAATCACAGAAGAGAAAATCAGATCTAAGAAATTCAAAACAGGTGTTAAAAATCATTGTAACATTGTTAATTTTCTTACCAAATGCGTAAGATTGGGGAAACATAGACCGCTCGGGTAAGCTGCTTCTGAATATAATGGCATTGTTATTGATGCATTCCCAATCGGACAAATCATTTTTCACCAATTCCTTCTCGTTCAGCGGCCTTAACCTAATCGAAACACGAATCGTCTCTTCTAGACCATTTAAGCTCTGAATGTCCCCTTGTAATAGCTCATCCCCTCCCATTATCGATCGAATTCTTCCTATTCCCAAAAATCGACTCTCCTTCTAGGGATCCTCAAGGCCTCGAGATCCCTCTCCTGCACAAATTCACGAGAAAAAACAACAAAAAAAGTCCATTCAGATTCAGAATCGTACAAAAGAAAAAGAAAAAGAAAAATCGCAATCGTAGATGAGATCGATCAGAGAGATACCAGAAAGTCGGATTAAAGCAGGGGAAATCGAAAGGGAAATGAGGTTCCCGCCTTCTCGTCCTTTTTTCCAGAAGAATGATCTGAAAGGAAAAACAGAGGAAAAAGAGAGAAGAAGATCGAGAGGAAGGAGAAAAATAGCGCCACACACTAAAATTTTCTCTCCATTCCCTCTCCTCTTCGCCCCCCTCTCCCCTCTTTTTCTCTTTCCCTCTTGCCAACTTTGGATTCCAACTGACCGTTGAATAATAACCGCCATCCCCAACTAAAATGAAACTGCATATTTACGTTTTTAGCCTCCCACCCCTCTAGTAACCCTAAACTTCGCCAAATTCCCCAAATTTATCCTTTCTTACCCTAAAATTTTCAATTTTATGGAATTGCATTTTTTTTTATTATAACGTGTCACAACCTTTTGGTTGGAGATATATGTCAATTACCGTTGAACTATACTCCTTTGGCCATGGAATTGCATTTAAACTTTGATTGATGTTGCAATCATCAGCCTGAATATAGTTCAACTGATTAAGTCATATATCTTCGACCAAAATATCATGAGTTCGAATCTTCACTCTCATATGTTATGCTAATAAAATATGAGTGTTGTAATGTTCACCCTAACTTATTTTAAAAAGTGTTATTATAATATGTTTTCATTTGAAATTTTTGTTGGAAATAAGTATTCTTAAATGTGTCAAATGAATTATAAAACATATATTTAGTATAAAAGGGATAAAATTAAGGCAAAATGATATTAGCTGGGTTATTTTATTTTTTATTTTATTTATAAGTTTTGGTAGAGTTATTTATTGGTCTATTTTGTGGCTTCATTAAATTAGTTAGTTCGGGGGTTTATCTATATATATATATATACTTTAGAAAAAAACTAGTGAGTGATTTAGCGAAAGTTTAATAGAGGGTACAAATTGCGACATATCATGATTTGATGAAATGAAAAATTTGAAATTATATTATGAATTTAGTTTCAATTTAATCTCTATATTATAAAATTTTAAATTCGATCTTTATTATTTAGTTAAAATATTGAAAAAATATGTTGTATTCAATACTGTGGTGACAGTTTGTAACAAGGAAATAGTTTATTATTGAAATTAAATTCAAATAATAGGAATTAAATTGAAGTTTTTAATACCATAACAACATAGGACCAAATTGGTAATTTATATTCTACTCAACTGTTTTTTAGTTTTTGTTTTTAAGGGATAAAATATTATCTTGAAATTTCCTTGCTGTGCTTCGGCGATGTACAGTTGTAATTGCTAAGGTGAATTTTTGTTACCGCCATTCTCTCCTTGTGTTTTTTATCTGAGTTGTTTTTACTTCAATTTTCTTTTTACTGTTTTGCAACATAATTTACTATTTCTTTTGACCATTAATTTCATTTACAAAAAATATTTAAAATTTCTGAACGTGAATTCTAGTTAAAAAGAAGAAAGAGAAGGGAAAAAAAATGACTCTTAACGATTCATTATAAAATTCCAGGAAAATACATTAAGTTATGGAAATTAACCCAAGTTGACATTAACTTTAACAAAATTACTGATATAGTTTTTGTGTGAACAGGTTACTTAATCATTCTTTGATCAACCGTGATTAAAAAACACTAATATCTAACCACTTGAATCTCAAATATGTACAAAATCGGTACTAAAATAACCTAAAATCAATATTTAGCTCTTGTTTGATAATTATACCGATTTTGATTTCTATTTTTAAAAATTATACTTGAATTTTAGCCCAATTTCAAAATTAAAAACAAGCTTTTATGATTTTTTAAATTTATTTTCACGTTTTAAAAATAAAAATAAATTATTCAAATGAGGTGAAAGTAATCTTTTTAGACTCAATTTTTAAAAACATAAAACAAAAAATGAAATAAGTACCAAACACTTTAAAATTGAACTAAAACCCAACCAAAATAACGCTATTCTTCAAAGTTCAAACCGATGGAATTGACTCGATTTGGTCCGAGTTCAAATTCCACTTTCGAATCATAACTATATATAAATGTTAATTAGCTACGTAATTAAACATCAAATTTAGCTACAAAATTAGCATCCATCATTTTTTGGTTGGCTAATTAATCACATTCAGAATCGTGAAGTTTAAGCATGGCGAAACAGAGGCGAACCCTAATTGTTTGAGTTTCAGAATCAAAACAGTTTTTTCTGAAGCACCATAGTTGAATGAAGTCCCCACTTCTGAGCGCAGATTCTTCCACCAACGAGTTCCAGTTCGTCATCAAGCAATACGGCTCACCACTTCCGATCTTCCACTTCTTCAACCAAATCGGCCTTTCTCGGAGCACAGGATCCATAATCACTACCTCCATTCCCTTCTTCTTCTTCTTCTTCTTCTTCTTCTTCTTCTTCTTCTTCTTCTTCTTCTTCTTCTTCTTCTTCTTCTTCTTCTTCTTCTTCT